TCGGTACGAGCGGCCCGCAGAGAAAACGGATTCACAACCCTTAGTTGAAGGCCTTTTCCTAGGGTCCATAAAAAAAAAAAAAAAAAACAGCATCGCACCTCAGAATTACCAGGTTCGGTCTCAGCATCCCAAATGCATTAGTCAGGTCAGCAGCAGTTCCCAACCTGGAGCATGTGTTGCAGGCTGCGGTCGTCTGTACCGTCACCACATCGAAGTTAGACTGGTAGTTATATCCAAAATTAGTTATTTTTAAGGCTCAGCGGACCGGAGCCGCCTCAACCAATGTTAGGTTCCGTGCCGAGCAGCAAGTATGTCCCACCAGCGTCGGTACAAGAGTACTGTAGCACAGCCCCAATGTCACTCCAAGCACCACACGTGTCATTCCCATACCGGAACTGTTACCGACTGTGTGACGGCTCTGCAGCCACTAGCATCAGCCTAGTGTCATCCAGCACTAGTGAATAAAAGTTGTCCCGTACTCAATGCTATAGCAGCTCCCACTAACCAATGATCGTGTGTACGTTGATTCAACGCCAACCCGTGAAACAACCGCCTCGAACTGCTGTGGCCCGTATCATATCGCTCTAATCCTTTTGAGTCGTAGCTTATATCGTCGTCGAACCGCATCTGATACCGAACCAAACCCGAATAAGAGACAACCGTACCGTGCCGATGCCGTGCCCATGCCGTACCTGGGGATGTCGGTGCCGAGCCTGAGTTAAATACCCGTGATAGCGCCGAACCTGGAATAACCTACCGTCCAGGTTCCGAACTTGAAATACATCGTCATAGTGGCTCCAGACCTGAAAGTAAGCCACCGTGGTGGTTCCGGCCCTGAAACAAATAGCCATGATGATGCTGATCCTGAAATAAATAGTCGTGAATAAATAGTCGTGATGATGCCTTCCCTGGAAATAAATCACCCTGGTGCCCGAACCTGAAGTACGTCAATACCCGCTCAGGCCGAACCTCAAACATGTCCGGTACCGAACCTGACATCATGTTGTCGGTCCAATGTAACACGATCCCACGCTATCCATATCCATGTGGTCATCGTCCGTACCGCCGGGCTCAGTAAGGTTAGTAATCAGGTAAATAGGGGACGCGTCATAGAGAGTTTTGATCATCGGGGGAATAGCAAAAAAAAAGTTAGAGCTCAGGGAATTTGATCAAATCTGGGTTCTGAGCTGACGGTGGGTATCCCAAGCAAAACCAATCCAGGCATCGAATAATCATTAGCTCCTGTTTGTTCCATCATTTTTAATCGTTCTCCCTTTTCCTTAATTCTATTGTCTGAAATAGTGAATTAGCC